TTATTTATTCTGTACTCTAAGAATTAACATGGTTACCCTTCTGGATCCCGATCCAAAGCCCCTTTCAGTCAATAGGAGCCTTTCCCTGGGCTTCAAAGACTTGGTATTAGACTCTTAATGAACATTTCCTACAGAAAGCATAAGTGACTGTCACTCACAAGTGACTGTCAGGACATAACTTTTCAATTAATCAAAGATATTCAGAGCCATAAAATCCTCCTCTTCAAGCAGCGTAATAAGAAAAAAATTTAGAGTTTAGTCTCATGGACCAGCCTTTGATTCTTTCTGCTCAAAAAGAGATGAACAGAGCAAATGTCTACCCTCTCTTACTTGCCCATCTTGACAGGATTTATTTATTCATTAGTTGACCTTTCTAGCCATTAGGACCATCTTGCTTCAGCAGTTAATTAACACAAGTGCCATAATTTAATACAGTTAATGCTACTTGATGCCCTTTAATGTACCTTCCATTAGTGATATTATTGTAGTATTACCCTGTAAATTAAAATGAGATCAAGACTAAGAGAGGCTTTCTTTAATTAAGGTACTGGCACACTACACTTGTCCATTATTCACGAGAGAAAATCACCCTGATTTAGTGAAGCAGACCATCCATAAGTCAGAATTAGTTCATGAGGATTATCAGGTTTCTTGAATAATGTGCATGCAATGGGGTTGCTGAAATTGCTAACAGCCATGTTTCCTCTTTTTTCATTATCTTAACAAACACACAATGAAAGCTGAATAAACAACTGGTAATAGAAAAACTGAAGGGTTTATCAAGAGGTTTTCATCTCTAATACAATAAACATCAAGCTCATTTCACAACAAAATGCAACGGAATGAGAAAACAAATTATATATTAAATGGGCAAATTTGCTAGCTTGAATATGTTGCAAGGTATTAAAAAGCTGCATGGCAGTTTTCAGACAAATACTTTTCACAGACATTGATCCCTAAAATTCAACAGGAAACAACTTACACAGAAACTCAGCTTCCTTTAAAAATATGCTGTTAAGATGATTGGTTATTTTAACCATCCTCAACCTACAGATGAATGTTACAGCATAAGCTACAGCATTAAAAAGAGTCTATTAGCATCACTCTTCCACAGCATGCCAAGTTACTCAGTAACCTCTCTTTGCATGTTATCCTTATGGAATAGCCCAGACTAGCTCTTCAATATCCAGAATATCAAACATCATGGCTAAACTTTAAGGCCCAATTAACTTATTGGATTCAGGTACTACTGGTGGAAAATCCACCTGGATTAGATATATAGTGGAGTAACACTTGGGGTTCCGAGTTGCCCAGTGAGGCCAGCGGTCAGGTAAGAGACAAGGCAAATGGGAGTACTGCTGATTCACAGACTCTTCAGGCCAGCCTCTGTCAGTGGTCTTCTGCAGAGCACTGGTGATGCTTAAAGCTGTCTTTCCCTGATGGAGGATGGCAGTGGTACTACAATAGGGTTGCCAACCCTCCAAGACAGTCCTGGAGCAATGGTGGGCAACCTGCGGCCTGTCAGGGTAATCTGCTGCCGGGCCGCGAGACTGTTTACATTCACCGTCTGCAGGCACGGCCGCCCACAGTTCCCAGTGGCTGTGGTTTGCCGTTCCCAGCCAATGGGAGCTGTGGGAAACGGCAGCCAGCCCGCAGCTCCCATTGGCCGGGAACAGCTAACTGTGGCCACTGGGAGCTGCGGGCGGCCGTACCTGCAGGCAGCCAATGTAAACAAACTGTCTTGTGGCCCGCCAGCAGATTACCCGCATGCGGCCGCAGGTTGCCCACCACTGTCCTGGAGTCTCCAGGAATTAAAAATTAATCTTTAATTAAAGATTATGTCTTGATGAAACCTTCAGGAATACATCCAAGCAAAGTTGGCAAACCTATATTACAGCCTGCTCTTTCTTGGAGTGGCCAAAGGTTCACAGGGTGCTGAGAGCACCCTGACATGTGCATGGGGATGGATCAAGCTCTAATTTTATTTATTTATTTATTAATTTATCAGCATACTTTGGGGGAAAAACAGCCCAGCAAGAGGTGTTTTTCTTTTTTCATTAGCAACAGAGTGATAAAGGCACTCACACAAATTTAATCTACTAGGATAGGATTACATAGCAGATAACCCCTGGTAGCTGGTGTCTGATTATTGTAGTTTAGCCAACAAGCATCACCATCAGATAAATTCTCTGTACAGTCACACTTAATTTTTATAGACAATTTGCTATGGGATTACTGTTTCCTTTAGCTATGTTTTGGAAGGCTTCTGTTTGGATTCCTTTACAACACTCTCTTTCTCCTTCAGATTTATGCGATGAGACACTGATAGTCTAATTAGAGACAGACTGCTTGCCGAAGTTCAGAGGTTTTCCAATGTGGACCTGCACCTTCTCAAAGTATGGTGTTTTTTTAACCCTGGGTTTTGTTCTGGTCCATCTCTACATCTAGTCTATTTGAGAGTGAGGAAATGATAGAAGAAAGGATACAGGAGAACTGAACTATATGCTGTAATTCTGATTACTATAGTAGATATCGAAACCACTATTACAAGCTTCCCATGTTCCACTAAGCTTATTACAAGATTCATGAACAATATTAGTCTATGGGCAATATTACATATATGTATTACATTAAAATTCTTAATGCAAAAGCAATGATCCAATGTTTTTGTATTTTTAATTAATCATCCTGTATCTATGTATTTCACATGGGGCACAAATAATTGTAACTGTAGCAAATCAACTGTGCAACGAAACTCATTTAGATTTGCACAGTTCTTGCTCATTAAAAATATATTTTCATTGAGAAAATGCACTGATAAATCCAGAGCCATGTAAATAGCAGATTTTCTGCCTTATATATTTTAGATGAATATTAAAAATACAAGCAAAATTGTATTCGTTTAATTCTGCCAGGAATTTTTTGCAACATATAAAATTGATTTCCTTGCATGTATGAAAATGCTTAGAGACATGCAATGTCTTCCATATAAAAGAGACTAAAAATACCCACTTAAGTAATCCACTAAACAACAGTAACAAACACACAGTCAATAGCGTGCTATATAATCTCCTTGTCTACTGCATTAATGTCAATTATCTTTTGCTTACTACAGAATGTACATGATATTCTTTATCCTTCCAGTAAGTTAAGTGGATTTTTGTTTGTATGCAATCAAAGATTATTGATATTGCATCAGTCCTCAATAAACTCTGAAAATAAAGTTGTTTAAAAAAGACATTTTGGACTCTTTAGTTTAAAGAGGATATGGATAAGAGGCACAAGGTGCATGAAAGAGGTAAGTAAAATAATAAAATATATGGAAGCGGTCCAATTTATCTCATCTGATAATACAAGTACAAGGGGACACCTAACATATTTAAAAATAACACACACAAAATTGCTAACAAGAAATACTTTTTTTACACAATGGGAAATAAATCTGTGAAACTTGCTACCACAAAATATAATAAGGTCAAGAGCTTAGTGGGATTCAAAAAAAGGTTTAGACAGTCATGGGGGAAAAAAATGTATCTCCAACAACTACAGTACTGTAGCAATGATTAACGTTTTCAGAGGATATCAGTCCTCATGCTTCAGATAATAAACTAACCCCTAGCTTCCTGGTATTAGGAAGACACTTTCTGCATAGGCACTTTTTGCACAAATGTCTATTTCTATTATGAGACATTTATACCTGGTATTAGCCATTGCTGGACACAGAATGGCCAACTGTCTAAAGCAGCAGTTCTCAAACTTCATTGCACCATGACCCCCTTCTGACAACAAAAATTACTATATGACCCTCTTCCCCCTTCCCCCCGGGGGGGAGGGGGGATATGTGGAAGAGGACCAAAGCCCGAGCCCTGCCACCCCAGGTGGGTGGGGGAGGGGCCAAAGCTGAAGCCCAAGAGCTTCTGCCCTGAGTGGGGGGCATATAACCTTAGCCCCGGGCAGTTGGACTCAGGCTTTGGCTTGGGCCCTGGACCCCAGCAAGTCTAACACCAGCCTTGGCAACCCCATTATAATGGGGTCATGGCCCACTTTGGGGTCCCAACCCAGTTTGATAACCCCTAGAATCATAGAATATCAGGGTTGGAAGGGACCTCAGGAGATCAGCTAGTCCAACCCTCTGCTCAAAGCAGGACCAATCCCCAGACAGATTTTTGCCCCAGATCCCTAAATGGGCTCCTCAAGGATTGAACTCAAAACCCTAGGTTTAGCAGGCCAATGCTCAAACCACTGAGCTATCCCTCCACACCCCAGTCTAAAGCAATGTGGCAATGCCTATGTTCCTATCTAAATTAGTCTTGTGTTATTCAAACCATTTGTTTATTTTTTACTCACTCCATTCTAGAACAGTCTAAAGCATCTGTAAGGGACACTAGCCTGCATGGTTTTCATTCTCTCAAACAGAACTATACCCTGCAGAAAGGGTGAAATTCACCCCACTGCAGAGGTCTCATCCAAGGCCCTTCAGACCAATTACACCTTACAGCAAGGGCCTGAATTAAAGCCCAGTGATTTCAATGGCTTTAGGCCATAAAGGCATAAAGGTACCCTGGCCTGGAGAGCCCTGTGGAATGTCCCTTAAACTGAGATCAAATATCAGGAGGTAGCCATATTAGTCTGTATCCACAAAAACAAAACATCTGTTAGTCTTTAAGGTGCCACAGGACTCCTTGTTGTTAAACTGGGATGAATTTCACCCTCAGACATAAAAGGTTGGACATCCCTGACCTAGTGTAAGAAGCTGTTAAAAGTATTCCACTCTTAAGATGTACAGAGATTTGTCAAGTTTAATGACAGTAGAACTTTGATGACTTAGAATTGCTGAATCAAAAGTGTCTAATGCTTTCAGAAACTGGTTTTTACTGAGCTACATTTTTGGGAAAACATTTCAGTAGAAATTGCTGACATTTTGAGGGAGGATAGAAAATTGTGGATATCCTTTAAGGCCAGACATATTTACCCTTTCTTAAAGACTCATATTCTCTTACCTTCCATATACCCTTATATCTGAGATTGCATAAAAGTAGCGTGCCAAGTGTTGCTCATCTACATATATTTCCCCAGTTGCTGGTCTGAGCAATCTGATCCTCAGGTCTGTGATGGTAAAGAAATCTCTCAGCTTCTTGGTTGTGTCAAGCTGGCCATACAGGGAAGCCATATTATGAAGCCGAGGTCCAGCAAAAAATGCAAATCGATCTTTGATCTCAAAGTGGATGATTTTACTATTTGTCATGTACCCAGTGGAGTATTCTTCTGTGCAAATGATTTCTAGGACTGTGTGCTGTGATAAATCCTTCACTGATTTGGGATCCATATGGAAAGCATCTAAGCAGTCTGTGGCATAATACTGGTATGGTTGCCATGTTCGCCCATAGTCAAGTGATTTCTCCAGGATCATTTGGTCTGGACGGCCAGATTCAAAGGTGATAACTATGTTATCTGTTAGTTCAATGGTTTTGTTCCAGGAGAGGGTAATGTTAACCTGGAGAGGTTTGGGATAATCTTTCCAAGTTGTAGACTGCCAAAATGTGGAGGGATGTCTTCCTTCAAGATCAAACATCAGTTCAGGTGGATGTGCCAGTTCATTGGTAGTTGCATCACATTCATTATTGCACATGTAGGGATTCCCCTATGAACGAAGAACAAAACAGTTTTACAAGCAGCATTATATGAATGACTACAGTACATAAAGGCATTCTTTGCTTGACAAATTAGAATTGCCTTTTTATTGTTTATGAGCAAACCTAAGAAAGAAAATAAATGTTTGTAGGGAAGATTTTTGTTTATCTTAACTAGATTTCTCCCTCACACACAGATTCTTTGCCTTTGTAATTTATGTGGCTTTCTCAGTGGTTTTGGAGAAAGAAAACAGTTTATTTATCCTGAATGTGTTGAGCCAGTAATCTAGTCACAAAAGCACAAGAACAATGAGCAAATGTCTAAAGACTCAATAACTCTGATTCTTCTTAGAAAGATGTAGCAGCGAAGCAAGGAGAATTTCTTTTTAACACAAGTACATTCCTCAAGAGCACAGTTCATAAAAAAGTCACTTTTAGGAGAAGTGCTTTAGAATCAGCAATACATTCTCTATGTGTGCAATATGAAACAATACCCACTACAGCTTTCATGCTTCCTTTTCCCCTGGCCTCAAATTTATCACGCTTAACTGTGCTCCTGTTTAGTAATGTCTTCCCTTAAAATGTTTACACTGTTCACTACAAATCATTAGAAACACAGTGCACTACAAGCTCTGGAGTTTGATCCAGACACCTACCACCCTATTAGCTACAGGCTAGTGAAGCACTTCAGGAAAGACTTTTTACCAGACACGGGCTCCAATTTATCAGGACAAGATAATCCACCACTTGAATAGGTGGGAGATGTCACGTCAGCAGGCCCAGCTGGAAGGCTGCTGAGGTGGCTGGAGGTTTGAACTGTGTGTCAAGTTTAAAAAAACAACACCACCACATAAACTTACCAATAATGTGTAGCTTTTACTAGTACTTGTCCTCTATAGCAAGGTGAAAGTGAATTATTCTGCTCTGGGCCTTTTGATGCACTAACTTGCACACTGCAATCTTCTTCCTCCTCACAAAAGCTACTTCATCTGGAGGCTGGGGATAACTTGATAAACCATTGCAAGCTATTGGCTACTTTAAGCTGTCCTGGATCATGTCTACCTAATCTAGAAGCTTTCATCAGTACATTAATATTTGGCTACTTAATCATTCATTATTTGTTTCAGAAAACAATTACTGCTCTGTATTTTTTAGAGTTAAATTGCAGCGGCTGGGCATCTATACTGTCCCATCTATGCATAAAGGTTCCTCTTCCTCACATTAACAGAAGTTCGACTCACATATTGATGGGAGAATAGTCCCTTATGTAATTAATTTTCTTTTCTTTTTTTCTTATCATTCCAATTATGTTTGTTTCCATCTCAAGACCTTAGGGATCTGAAGCTTTGCAATCCCACCCACTGAATGAGCTAGGTCTCAAATAATGAGTTTCCACCTTGGTCACTGCCACAGTCCCTGACATACTCAAGTTAAATGCAAGAAAAAAGTCTTAAGCACTTACTCTGACCTCCCTAGAGGCAACTTTCTCCTTCCTACTCAGAGAAATACTTTCTCTCATTCTTTCCCATTAATGTAGCTGAATCCCAAAACCGACAACAATTCATTGAGACTCAAATATAATGCAAGAGAAGAAAATGGGTTATTTGAAAAACAGAACACTGCTTATTAAATTGACAGACTCTAAACATGTAGCTGTAACTGAGAAGATCCTTGTTACAGTTTTCCTGCTTTCAAGCTCAGGATCACTATTTCCATTATAGAATCATAGGGCTAGAAGGGACGAAATAAAGCAGAGGGAAAAATAACAATATAGTCTAAGCAGGATGGATAAGCCACTAAGTTTTTTATATTTTAAACTCAGTTTAAAAACATACTCAGAGACACAAATGCAAAGATCTGCAAACTTGCTCGGGCTTTTTTCAGGAAGCCTATAAATACTGTGGAATCTGTAAGGATTTATATATTTTAAATATATGTAAATGTGCACTTTACAGAAAGAGGTCAGCGTTATCACTGGAAATTTACTCAAACAATATGGTCACTTCAGTCTGTCCACGTGAAGCTATCAGTATAGCCATGAACATGCATGCTACAATCTCCTTTCTGGCCAAAGCTACTTCATCTAGAGTTCAGGAATATCAAAACAGAGAAAATCAAAGCTACTGGATAGCAAGTTACAGACATTTATATTAAGCAGAACAGAAAGATGGCTTTGGTCTTCTACAGCACAGCCAGAAAACACACATGTGGATCTGTTGTCATTTTTATGTTAAAAACTATCCACTGGTCCCAGGATACCAACAGAGACTATGTTTCATGAACCAGAATGGATAAAGGAAGGCTATTTACCTTACAATAACTGGAGCAGACAGTAACTGTACAAAGAAATTAACTAGATGATTGGGTGGGAAAAGATTGAACTTTGCTTGTTGTTTTCAGATCAATCTTTGGGCAGGTGAAGAGGCTTCACAAAACTGTATGATTGCTAATGATGTATGTAGCAGATGTAGTCAGTGAATGCAACCTCCTTCCAGTGACAGGGCTTGCCTTAGGGACAATCAAAACAGGTAACTTCAAGGTAGTCAGACAAACTTTACTGGAACAAACTCTCCCATCTCTACATTTTAGAGATCAGCATGGTCTAATGTGGTTGGGCCACCAAAAGATTTAAGGCTGATCTTGTTTGTTGGCAAATACTGTAATGTGCTGCTGAGACCAGGTTTATGCTACAGACTTCTGCCGGCAGAGCTATATCTGTCAGGGATGTGAAGAGGTGTGATTCTCTAACCAACACAGCTGTGTTGGCAGAAGCCAGTAGTATAGATGCAGTAATACGAGCAAAACTGTACTTTACTATACTGGTACAAAGTGCAGCTTCTGGTATTGCAGCATCCGTACTAGGAACACTTTGCCAGTACAGTATATTGGTATTCTCATATCAGTAAAGTGCTCCTAGTGTAGACGTAGTCTGACTGCTACCAAGCCACCCTAATTCTGTTTGTGAGATCTCTGATTGTTGTATTATTGCTCTCTCCAGGCTTCCATGCACAATGCAAATGAAATATTCCATAATTAATGAAACCCTATGTGTCGCCAGTGCTGCTATTCTTCACAAGAGAGAGAGCTGCATTTTAATTCCTATCTGTTTATACTGTGCTTTGGGATGGAAGATGTTGTATACATTCAAGTTATTACTGACCTTATAAAAATCCACTAGATATTAAATATTGGATCTTTTGGGTTTATACCAAACAGATATTGATTCTGTGAAGAGTCCAAATGAGAACTCAGTTCATTGGGGATGAAATTCATCCGGAGCTGAGGGTCAGCACAAATCCTATGGACCACTTCATATTAATTAAAACCTATTTCCAGGCAAGCCTGGTCCAATGGACGGGGTAGATTTCACCCCCTCTGAGTTTTTTCACTGAAAACAAAGAGTAATCATTACCGCTGTCAGAACTGCCAACTCCAAGTGTTCAAAAACCATGGCCTGAAGAAAACATGAGATTGACTTAAAATCTCCATCCATCCATCCTTTGGCTTCTTTTTATTTGCCTTTTGGTTTTTGAATCTTTAGGGTGCACTTGGCTCACATTTTCAAGTTTTTCTCAACAACTATCAGGGCTAGGAGCTTACTCTGTTTTAAATGAAGGCTGAGAGTCTCATATTTTCACAAGATTCCAAGATTTGGGACTTGGAGGAAACACTAAATACCATAGGACTTGGAATAAAATCATGAAGCTAGCAACAATAAAATATCTAAATCAGCAATTCTCAAACTTCATTGCACCGCGACCCCCTTCTGACAACAAAAATTACTGCATAATTGGAGCTATTTAAGAATATAAGAATGGCCATACTGGGTCAGACCAAAGGTCCATATAACTCAGTATCCTGTCTTCCAACAGCAACCAATGCCAGGTGCCCCAGAGGGAATGAACAGAACTGGTAATCATCAAGTGATCCATCCTCTGTCATCCATTCCCAGCTTCTGGCAAACAGAGGCTAGGGACACCATCACTGCCCATCCTGGCTAATAGCCATTGACTACTCTCAGCTAGATGGACCTTTGGTCTGACCCAGTATGGCTGTCCTTATGTTCTTAAATAGCTACAATCATGAAATTTATGATTTTTTAAATCCCATGACTGTGAAATTGACCAAAATGGACCGTGAATTTGGTAGGCCTAGTTATATTGATATCCATTTTAAGGCCCCTTTACACAGCCAGAGCAGCGGTTTAAATGGGCATTAGTGTAAATGATTCTGGATAGCTATAGTTTCATGAAATATGAATATCCATTTTCCCTCACTTCCATTCAGGTAATGGGGAACTTGCCTCTGTTTGTGATTTGTCTTCCTGTCCCTATGTTTTAAGATAATGTTAAAATTCAGGGTGTCTGATTACATTACAATAAAATTGATCTTTTTCTAATTTACTCTCAGTGCTGTTATAATCTTGGCCTTCACAGCGTCCTCTGGCAAGGAGTTCCACAGGTTATTGTGCACTGTGTGAAGAAATACTTCCTTTTGTTTGTTTTAAACCTGCTGCCTATTAATTTCATTTGGTGACCCTTAGTTCTTGTGTTATGAGGAGTAAATAACACTTCCTTATTTACTTTCTCCACACCCGTCATGATTTTATAGACCTCTATCATATCCCCCCTTAGTTGTGTAACCCCTGTTTGTGTTTTTTTCTGGGGAGCCTTGGAATTTCAGGGTCTTGGGTTGCTCCTTCCCCAAGCGCTGTTGGTGTTTTCCT